TATCTTGCAAGTCTGAAGCGGATATGACGAAACTACCTATGTCACATGTCAGTTGTACGACTTCCCTCACGTGAAAGCACGCCCTCAAGATTCTGACAACAACCAGTCGCCTTTCCTTTTTTAGCTTGGACAAGATAATAACGGGTATTTAGGGAATCCTTACTTACGTGAAACCCTAGGAGATTTCCCTTTATAAATACCCAACTACAGCCGCCAAAAAGAGGAGGAAAGGGAGAATAAATAGAGATTTAACTGAAGCGTGAGCGAGAAACTGCAGTGCTTCCCCATCATTTTCCAATCGACCGTCCTTGGTATCCTCTATAGTCAAACGATAGCAGAGCGGCAGTTAGGCCTCGAGAGAGGCTGACCGCCAGGATAGGCGCGGTGTTGATCAGAGATGTCACCACAGAGCCCCCAGTTTCGGGAGTTGTTCTTCCTTTGTTCTTAACTTTTTTACATTGTTTGGGGTTGTAGTAAAACAATGATACTTTGGTTGACTTTTTGATAACACCGTGAACTGTCTTACTTGGTGTTAATAATTGTTTTGCCAAAATAATTATTTTATGCTTTATGAATGATGAATTATGATTTTGTTCATGACTGTTTTGTTCATTGTTTAAATATTTTTCCTTGACACTGTAAAAGCTTCAACAGATTGCCTAGGGTCTTGGTGAAACATGTCTTGACAATGTAAGAGCGTCGAGAGATTGTCGGTTGTTTAGATATTGATTCTTAGATTCGAGAGTATTAAGATAGATCTACATGAACAATGGAATGAATCCGAAATGGTGATATTCTAACTTGTCTATCTTAGAGATAAGGAGAGAGTTTCATTCGACTAAAAGGGATAGACACTAGAGTATGATAGAAAATGATTATAGTTTACGCTAAGAGGTATTGTTACAATAATAGTCTGACAAACCAAGGGTTGTAGTTAACAGTAAGTAGTATTTCCATAACAACCGTCTAAGAATACTAGTAATCCTGTCGGGCAGTTTAAGCATGTCATAACAATTCATTCTAGACTTAGAATAATTGTTTGACATAACAAAAGATTAGCATAAGTGCTCTATGAAAAGTCTGAATATGTGAGATTGTTTTGAATATATTTGAATCAACACTTGTCTTTGCTTTATTTACTTCAATTTGATAGCTTCGCATATTTATTTTGTCTCGACCAAACTTTTCTGCAACCATACTTTATAATATTTTCTTTCTTTATTACTAATAGTTTTCTAATTTAACAAGACTATAGGAATTAGCTTGTGAAAATTAGTTATGGTTGTGGTGAAGCTTAAAAAGAATCGACCAATCCTTGAGGAGACAATAACTCACTTACCCTATATTACTTGATTCAATTGTGTATACTTGCACATAATTTCTTGCCTTAGCATATACATTTACAAGCGATCAACTTGCCTCGGATACATTGAACTATATGTTTTTTATTGTGGGAAATGCTTGAATATATCTAGTGTAGGTTAATGTTTTGCCTGGTTTATAGGTGAAGATATAGATTTGGGGTTATGTAAATACTTTTTATGTGATTGGAGTATTAAAATCCATATAGAGTGAGGAGTTGCCACAAGACTGTTAGCTCCTAAAAGCAAATTTTACGCCTTTAAAAGCAATTTTGATTGAAAACCATATGGTTTTGGGGCCTCTATTATAGTGACTGTTAATTTTGGTCCATATTTTATGGATTTTGGTTCAAATTAGTCTCTCTATAATGGATATTGGTTCAAATTAGTCCCTGTATTGCTAAACAGAAACAAATAAGGCCAAACTGTTTACTAAGGTTAATGTTTTAAGAAAATGTCAATTATTGTTTAACAAATGAAGTTTTTTGTTTGGAGTTGGACTTTGAATGAAAAAAAATTAACAATATAATTTCACTTTTAAAGTAGTAAATCTTACAAAATTGGCCTTATTTGATTCTTGTTACTAGTAAAGGAACCTAATTGAATCGTTTGATAGTAGATGGATTAAGTTGGATTAGTCTCTCCAATAAAGGGGAAAAATTGATCCAGAAACAATACTAAAGAGACTAAATTGGTATAAGAACTTAACTTTATAACTAGGTTAAATAGATTTTTCCTTGTTGGGATTTGGAAAAGGGTAATGAAATTATTCAATCTCATGCTAAAACATAATTGAAAAAGTTTTGGTTTATAGATGGAGATGGTAGGTGCAAGCAATTAACACTATAGACACCTAAGATGAATAGAAAATAGACATGTTACGATCTCTTTCCTACTAAAATGAAATGGATCAAATGAGCTTTAATGTTGATATCGTGCAATTGGTTCATCAAATAAATAGGTGCATAGATTAATATTTAGTAGATTGTTTCATCAAATTCAGCATCTCGATTTGTATGAAAATGTGATCCCTCCATTGTCTCTAGTGAGGATGCATTTTTTATTTGTTCTTTGCCTAATGCATATTTATACAAATTTTAGCACATGCTTATATTTATGTGTAGACAAAAGCGTTGGAAGGTTTTATACATTTACAAAGAACATTGATGAAAAATGCCTTTAGTAAAGAGTGCACAATTAATTGAGTTATGTCATGCACAGAGGAAAAGAAATAAAACTCGGAGCAAGAGAATTAGGGAAATTAAAGAAAGGGTTAGGGATTTGGAATTGAAAATGGGCCCGACACGTTCTACAACCCACTAAGGATAGGAAACAACTTGCTTATTTGTGCAGGTTGTTATACTCAGTACAACAAGGGCTGCCAGTTGCAGGGTTTAGCTATGGGTACACTAAACAAATAAGAGCATGTACTAAGGAGATGATTTTTATGAAAGTATTGAATGAACGTTTGTTTACTGAATCCTTTATTCTCTTCTCTCTTTTTTTCCTTCGATAATTGTCTATTTCTCCAGGGTCATAACAATTGGTATCCAGAGTCATAACTCCTGGAAACGCAATGGTAGAATCCTTTATTCTTTCTATGATTCAAAAACAGATTGAAGACTTAAAAAAGCTGGTGAAGCAAAATCAGTACCTGGAGACAGAGATTGCAATGAATAAGGGTTGTTTGGAGCAGATTCTAATGGACTTGATGGGAAGGACAAATGATCAAGAACCACCAAGCCCTGAAACTAAGCAGATGTTACATGTGGTAGTCGAAGGCACAAATGCTGAGTATAAAATGTTTGATAAAATTCCAATAAGAATATTTAATGCAATTCCATCCATCACTGGCACTATGAATGTTGATTTACGACTACAACAAAGTGATAATATGATTGGGCTTAGCAAATTGATTTCCTGGGAAAATCTAGTGGACGTCGAGGAACAAGAGCAAACCATTTTAGAGAATGCTCAAGTAAGTACTCCTAACCTTCTTAAGACTGGTGGAATGAAGATTCCAAAAGAATTGGGAAAGCACACTGCTACTTATTATGATACATGATGGATAGCTAAGGACAAACTTGTTCCCATAGACGATAAAGGAGTAAATCATTATGCAAATATTGAAAAATATGATATTACTAGTATGTATTATTTGGAGAAAGAATTGATCGAGGCTCGAAATTATGAACTCTACAGTAAATAAGGTATTGAAGGAATTTATCCCCAATCTCTCTCATGAGGCATATGGCATTATTTTTCAGAGCTGGGATGTTCCATATGTACCTCACACTCATGAAAGTCTTTTGACGTGAAAATATGCTTCGATGAATTCGGTTGACTTTCTATTTAAGAAAAATTTAAATGCAGCTGTGGTAGATTGTTGCATTGGAATTCATGTATACTTCACTGATCTTCAAAGAAGGGTTGTCTTAGATGTTGCTACAATTGCGGGCTTGCACCCCTTCACTTGATTCATGAAACTACAACAACAACATTGGATTATGGTATTTATAAAACTGATTTACCTGAAAATGGCTCAGTAAATGTTTCCCTTGTTGATATTGGACATACTAGCATTTTCCTACAAAATTTAAAGAGGAATACAAGATTGATGTATTCCAGAATAATAGTGCTTGTACTAGGCTCCATGTAGCTTGTGAGAAGTTAAAGAATGTACTTAGTGCCAATCCTAAGGTACTTAGTGCCAATCCTGAGGCACTTTTGAATATTGTGTTCTTGATGGATGAGAATAATGTTAGGGATTTCATTAAGAGATAAGAGTTTGAGCAGATCAGTGCTCCAATTTTGCAACGTGTGAAAAGGCCACTAGAGAAAGCACATGCTAATGTTGGATTTGCTGTTGAAAATGTTCATAGGGTCAAGGTTGTTGGCTCAAGCTATGCTTTAGCAACTGACAATGGAGTAGTTTATTTATGTGGCTCTAGTTTTGACCCTTGCCTTGGTCACGGGGAACAACAAATTAAACTTTACCCACGAAAACTTCAAACATCTAAGAGAAAAAGAGTTATACTCGATCCGTCAAAATGTAGTAAATTGAGCATGGATGAAATGAGGGAGCTCGTATATGAGTTATCGAAGAGGACAAGTAGAGCCTTAGAAATGCTACAATTATGGATCCGTCAGAAGATTTTACAGGTCTTATGTGTCGAGATGGGAAAGGAAAGGAAAGGAAATATATTGGGTTGACTAATCTAAAAATTATTGAAAACCTTTTGAAAATTGTAGATGAAAAGAATTAAGGGGTTCAAGAAGGTGTAACAGATCCCGAATGGCATTTGTACCCAACAGTTTGTCAGATAACAGCCAAAAGGCAGAGGAAATCTGATTATCCTTCCCGACTGCCCATTCTTGTGAATGATCACGACATTGTTAGTGGTGGCAATGAGATTGTAGCACCCCCAACCCGTATCTGACCCGAATACGAATCCGAGGTGCCACATTAACTATTCAAAATATTTACCTTTAACAAATAGTAGAAATTTAAATTTACTTTTCAATAATAAAAAATTTTAATACAAAATAAAGTGTACAAACTTCAAACTTAACTGGAAATATATAATTCATCATTTACATAAATACAATAAATGTACATTTACAAAAAACACACAAAATTTATAAAAACCTACTATTTTAAATGGTTCTGATCTGATCTTCTTAGCTTATGCTGCCCTCTCCTAATCTTCACTCTTCTGATCTCTTTGAACCTACGTGTGAAACAATCCACTCGCTAAGTCGTTGACTTAGTGAGGCAATAAGACATATAATATAAAACATTTCAAAAACCATTTTTGTTGATCCATATAAAGCTTACATACTTGAAGTAAAATACAATTTCTAATAAATTACATCAAATCATTCATTAATCTTCTTCCACCCTTTTATTCTTTTAGCCCAATGTAATAACACTGAAAATTCAGGATATCTGAGTACACTAAGGTTGTGCATAATTGTTGTCACCACAACTCATATAATTTTCACCGAAGTGCCACATAGAATTTGTCTCGAAGGACCGTGTAGAAATTTGTCCCGAAGGACCACGTAGAAATTTGTCCCAAAGGACCACATAGATTGTCTCGAAGGACCGCGTAGAACCCTCGAATCTTGGCATGCCAACTATACCCTAATTCTCACATATACACCTTAGGCTTTAACTTATAATTATTTTAAGCTTCACCATTTAAAGTGTATCTTATTTGCATATAGAACATTCTCGTAGATCACTTATACGTAGGGCATTTCATATTCATATGTCACATATATACATTCAAACACAATTAACAATAGAACTTACTTTTAAAATATACTTAAATAAAACATCATAAAATATTGCATAAAAGGATTGAAAATAGTTTTCAATCGAAAACTTTGAAGTTGGCTTATCGCAAGCTATCCTTAAATCCAATATAACATAATTTAATTACACTCACCTTTGCCTCACTAAAGTCCTTTACTCTTTTGTTCGAAACTTGAAATGTCGAGTTGACCGAAAGTTAATTTTGTTCAACATCTACACAAAACAATCGAAAATAAATATCGGAATTTGAATCACTTATCCTCAATCATAATAACTTAATATGCGATAAACAATAAATTTCTCATTTAATACTTAATAGTATCGGTACTACCCCTAACAATACCTATACTTCCCTTTGTTGGTATCGATACCCCCTTTGGTACCGATACGATTTCTACATACTGGAATTTCAGCTTCAAAATGATATCGATACCTTACTCTTGGTATCGATACTCCCCTTTCAGTATCGGTACCTCAACAATCAGTATCGATATTGATCCTTGATTTTAAATCGATTTAGCCTTGAAGTATCAATATTGTTCTTATAATACCAATACCCTTGCCCATATTTCATTTCTTCCACTTCGAATTTTAACCCAAAATCATCTAAATCCTCTACTTTTAACTCTAATCATCTCCTCAAACTCACTAATACTCATACTAATTACTTATCTTCACTAATCCTCTTATAACATCCGGATTTCTCAATAATATTCTTAAAACTAAGAATCATAGCTTTTAATCAAATATGTTATAATTTATTTGTAACACTTCGAATCTCTTAGTTATGACTTTGACAAGTCAATTCTACCTTTAGAATCCATTTATCAACCAATTTACAAATTTTTACTTCAAAACCCATCTTATTCATTCCCTAATATCTCCTTATTAACTTAGTTTTTCTTCATTTTCAAGCTTCCTTAATCATCTCTACCACCTAAAGCTTTAATACAACCCATGAAATTAAGAAAATCATTAGCTTGAAACAACTCACCTTAATCAAGGAAGTCACGAACCAAGAAGGAGAAGAAGAAAAAGAAGGGAAATGGGGTATGTACGTATCCACATAATTCTTTTCTCTCCCTTATCCTCTTAAAATATCCTAATATAATATGGATATAAAATTCATATACTGAAAAAGACCATCTTGCCCTTCATCTCTTCCTTCTTTGTAAATAGATCCTAACATAAAATTTCCAACATTAGTCTTTGAACTTATCACTTATTTCAATTAAACTACTAAATTTTAAATTTCTTACATTTTGATCACTGACCCGATATTTGGGGCATTACAGACATGATCATTGATGTTTATTGTAAAAACTTGGCTGGCAAGGCTACATTAAGACAAAAAGATCCATTTTGCTAAAGGTGTTCCTGCTGCATCTGTTACAAGTTCGATGACAAGGAGGATCCTAGTCTATGGTTAAATTGCCACTTAGAACCTCCTTTCCCAGGAAATTCTTGTGGCATGTCATGTCATCTTGAGTGCGCATTAAAACAAAAAAAAAATCATGCATTGGAAAAGATAAACAACATGTTGTTTCTGATGGGGGCTATTATTATGTAGCGTACAGGAAAGTAAATGATTTGATCGGGTGTTGGAGAAAACAAATGATGGCTGCAAAAGATACGAGGATGGTGGACATTCTCTATTATCATGTCTCTTTAGAACACAAACTTTTAAATAGCATTGAAAAATACCGTAAGCTTTCAGAGATTGTTGATGAAGTCGTTAAGAAGCCTGAAGCAAAGGTCGGTTCGTTAACTGGTGCCCGTTAAAAGAGGTAGGGGTATCGTCAACAAGCTTTCTTCAAGACTCGAATTTCAGAAACTATGTTCTTCTGCAGTAGAATTTCTGGACAAAATGCTTTTCAATACTATCTCACATTTTTCACCAAATTATTCAGTACCAGGCAGTTTATGTTCGATTTCTCCAGCAATTGTACGCTTTGAAGAAGTAAGTCAAACTTCCGTTACTATGATTGTGAATTCTGAAGAACCTTTACGGAACAGTAGTATCGCTTACAACTTATGGCATTGGAAGACGTGCAACTGGGATTACCCTGTTGAATCAACTTGTACCATGTTTGTTTCGAACACAAGGTTTGTTGTCATGGGGCTGACTCCAGCTATGAAATCTCTTATCAAAATTGTGTTGTTTAATTATCATCGTTCTTGGTGGAAAAGACATGGAGCTGTCCTTAATGGTGAAACTGTTGCAATCCACTTTAAGCAAAGACCTTATTTAGAGTTAATTGAGGGAGATCCCAATACCTTATATGTAACCATTTGGAGTGGCTTTTCCGAAGATATAACTCTTGATTTTCTTAGTCTCACTCTGATGGCTACATTTAATGCGGATGAAGGTGATAGTGATGATTTCATGAGCTATGAGAAAAGGACCAACCCATTTTAAAAGTGTACAAATCAAGACCTTTAGTAGATTTATATGGGGCTATATCACCTGCCTTGCTTATTAATGCAACTCAGTTGGTCAGAGTTACAATGCAACCTATAAATCCTTTCTTGATAATCGTTGTTATACATATTGACACTGTTCCAGGTCTGGGTGATGGTACTGCTATCTATAGTTTTTGGTGGAAGGTGTTTGGCAACTTGAGTTTTGGATAGAAGTTTGGTCGGGAACTAAATGGACTGACACGGTTGGTTGAGTAGTAAATGCCACACAGAAGATGTTTGATTGGATACCAGTGGCATCTTGCTCATTAAATGTGAAAAAAATTACTGTGGGTAGTTATCCCTATTTATATTTTAGATCATATATATTGAAAATATGTTTTCCCCCGAAATTTTATAAATTCATCCATTCCTTTAGAAGTTCATCCCGTAACATAAAATCATCCATCCGTCCCTGTTTTCAGAGTTGGATCTCATAATGATATTGAATCAGTTTTTGAATGAAATATATAGCGAGGTTGCAGTTTCATATTGCTAAAATTAAATCATACAGTAAGTAGTGCATAGGGCATTGATGATTTGATGCTATGAGGAGTTACCACTGGACTGAGCAAACAATCATTCGTACAGGGTACACACAATCTGATGCGTTATCCGAAGATATTGTCAGAGTGAGTACATAGAGCATTTTCTTCTGATTGCAGAATACTGTCTGCCCTGTGACCTTGGTGTTTTCAGTACAAATCTAGCAGGGTTTCTATGTACTCTCTTGCTCCGATGGTCCAATCACTTCACAAATTCTTGGGTAACTTACAGGCTAATGGCTGAGTATTGAGATCATCAGGGTCCAAGCTAACATCGCACAGGAGATTGACTAAAAAAACTGATCTTTCCAGGAATAACTCAAGCGGTTACTGTAAGAAGTTTATTATGTTAAATTACCAAACGACAGGCAGACATTAAATTTACTGGTCGAAGGAAACAAAGAACAGAATTCTTTAGTTAAGCTTTCAAAGAAAAATTATGTTCTCATTGGCATTAAAGCAAGCAAAAGTACAATTTTCATTGGTCAAGGTTTCCAACAACAAAAAAGAAAACAGTAAATTCGATATCCAGCCTGTATGAATTAATTTGCGATGATAATGGCAGTGAGTAGTTGATACATCACTTTCTGTGTTACTTTTGACCCCTATTGTTCTGTCAGTCTCTCACTTCCCCCCGTTTTCTCCTGTTAAGCAGCAAGCAGCCACTTGAAAATCAGCTCTCTCTGAAACCAGATGAGATGTGCATGTATGATGGTAGCATTACAAAAATCAACACTACAAGATATTAAAATGCATTACCTCGTCCTCGTTCATGCAAAGGAAAAGTGTCGAGTCTAAGGGCAAGAATAGGCAATCATTGACAGCTTACAATTCTTGAAAAGCATAAAAGATTAAAAAGAACAAAGCATAGGAATAGGGCTCACATTTTAGGTAATTTACCGACCGATTATATATTCTGTGAAGAGTAAAACAAACTGGACGCACATGGTTTATCTGATTTCAAGGCGGTCCAAGTTGCATGGACATAGTACACCAAATTGGAAAAGGCTTAAATTCCTTCCAACCAAGAAAGAAAACAAAAAGGAAATCAACTAGAATATATCTATAAGTAAAAGATTATTTTCTCCAAGGGAAATCCAAAAGCACCAAAAACAGATGAAAGGAACAAACTGAGCCTAAAGATGAGCGATATTCACCTTCACTCTTACAGTCTTTGCTTTTACAACGGTTTAGGAAACAAATAAAAAGAACTACTTGCACTTACCAGTAAATTCTTCGGTGTAACGGTTTAGGAAGCTATCTTCCAATGCATATTTTTGATCTCGTACACTTCCATTGGAATTCATTCTATCAGCTTTATTGGTTTCATGCTCGGTTTTCACCATAAGTAAAATTTCCGTGGAAGGCTCTGGTTTCAGCCCAAAGGAATTTCCTTATTAACAAAGAGCTATATAATGACCTTTATAGGTTCCTTTAGAGGATTGCGCAAATTGTTATGGCCTATATGTGAAAAAAGTACTAAATGCAAATAATGATGAAAACAAACTAAATGCAAATTGTTGGGCTACAATATCAGCGCATGAATCAAAAAATTATTTCAATGAATCACTTCATGACGATACTTAATGCAAATAATGATGAAAAGTACAAGTCAAATGAAAATGGCATGGGAATCTACCTTGTACTCAAAAACTTGGTCAGTTGATCCTAGATATAGAGTATTGTGAGAAGGGAGTCTACCATCTTCCTTGTGTATAAAACTAATCATCAAACTACAATCCTTTTCAGTTGCAGCTATCAAATAGTCCTTTACAATGTTCAATCTTTCATTCAATGAAATGGAGTGCAAAGAGGTATAGCGGCATGACAGTTTGTCTTTACTCGATTCTCTACAAACCATACAAGGTTGAGAAATTATGTTGTAATAAGCATGAATTGCCCCTTAAATGTCATGAGTATCAAGCTTCTGAACTTCAAGAAGTTGACGTAAAGCACCAGAAGTATAAATTGCCTCAGCAACAAGCTGTATAAAACCAGTTGTGTGTTGGCCACTATCTGCCTGAACGACATTCTCAAGTATATCTTCGAAGGCCTCCCCAACCAGAGCAGTAGTTCTGTCTGTGCCACCACCCAAGCTCCCAAATACAGTAGAACCATTAAAAAAATACACGGAAATTGTTCTGAGGGGTGGAATACCCCAGATTTATCCACTCAAGAAAAGCCATATTATCTATTATATGGGTGAGAAAGTTGCTATAAAGATACATCTTCTCTTGGATGTGGACAGAGCAGCAACTTAGCACCAAAAATCAAACTACGCTTTTTTAAACAGCATTCTCTTCTGCTATGAATCATGAAATCGGGAGAAATCCACATTTGGGTATGGTTTTGAAATTGGGAGAACTTGTTATATGAATCTTGATTAAGTTTTTAAGGATAGGTATCAAATTGAAACGTAAATTAAACGTTAGATATAGTTTAAAAAGGATTTAATTATAAAATAAGCGTCTAAATTATACTGCTTTTCTCAAATAGGTGCCCAAATTTTTTTCGATTTATCCAGATGTCTAATGTTACAGACCTTACCATTTTAGGTGTTCAAGTTGTAAATGCCATTAAATTTCTATGTTAAGTGACACGTGTCGCATTCAGGTAATTTTGAAAGTTTTAGTCAAAATAATTAAAAAAACTTAAAATTATATATTAATTAAAACCCCAAAATTTTTAATAACCTTTAAAACCCCAAACTATGAAAACCCTAAATACAATCCTCATACCCATGTTGTCGTCGTCCTTTATCATCGTCGTCGTTGTCGTCAACTGAACTTACCACTGATCGCGCCTCCACCAAACGACTACCCACGCAACGAACAACCATTGAATCACAATCTAAAGGGACAGTGACCAAGGAGGCAATTTTATATTAAAAGCAATTATTTAGTGAGATATAACATAGTAAAGAACATTAAATGATACATAAGTATCTCATAGTTATATGACTTCAAAATAAGTTATAACATCCATAGGAATTAGTGAAGTCCTTCGTATCTTAGCCAAATCTAGGTCATTTTAACCTCATAACAACTTTTAGTATGTCCAATATA